AATATATCGTATTTATTACCAAAAATGACTGTTAATGACTTGGTCATACCCATATTGGAATTGGCACAAAAAACAAAATCTACACAAAAAAAAAAAAAAAAATAAAATTAAAACCCCCGAAACAATAAAATTAGGCGCTTATTTTTTTACATTTTTTCTTCAACTAGTTTTTCTTTATATGCTTACCATATGGTTATGATTAGAAAGAAATCGAATTTAATAACAGTAATAATAATAATCGAAAGTGATCATTTTTAACACCTTCACAATAATAAAATATATTTAGGTGTATTTTTACTTAAAAATCTTAGGTTAGCTTATGGTTTAATGTCGTATACCTATTTATAAATTGGAAATGTGAAGAAAAGAATAAAAAGAAACTTAGTTTTTTTTTTTTTTGGAAAATTAAAACATAAAATTCAATTCGAAGACGAGGGATTCAAAATTATAATAAAAAGAAAAAATTATTTTTTGTGGATTTATAAGTTTTTTTAGAAGTGATAATTTTAAGTGAAATTCATAAACATATGCTATCAGTCATATATGGTTATGTTTTCTTACACCACATATTTTTTTTTTAACACTCCTCAAAGAATATATTATTGTTATACGCATTATAATATGAGAAAATAATTAACATTATTATATGAAATGAAAGTTACTGTACAATTTTTGCTTTCTTTTTCAAACATAATATTGGAGAATGTATATAATCAATCAATATAGGTTGAGTATCTATATTATTGAATGTACACATATAGAGAATTATAAAATAGTGTTATACACAATAATTGGTGATAATACATCAATTGTGATTGATTTCGATTTCTATATACAAAATCGTAAAAGTGCGAGCTCTTTTTCAGAGGTAATTTTTCTTTTCGAAATCTATTTTTATGCCCCCCGAGAAATTTATAACATTTTAATGCTGAATATATGATTAATTATGATAAATTTCTTATCGCAATACTAAATATCGTAATAATTTATATTTTGTCACTATTCGAAAATCTATGCTCTCTCTCTCTCTCTTTTAATATACATTAAATTAAAATTTAGGTAGCATGATTTTAAATTGTGGTGAGTAACAATGAAATTCGAGAAGAATGTAAGGTGGTTTATGACTTGAAACACGCTTTCACTTTAAAATTTCAGTTATACGGTATTAATACACAATTCAGCTTATAAGTTTTAATTGCTGAATTGTGTATTAATACCGTATTATTGCAATTTTAAAAACAGTGATGTTGTTGAGTTTTAGTATAGCAGCTTATTTTAGAATTTTATATAAAATAATCAATTTTAATATTATAAATATAATCTTGAGAATATTTTTATTTTGCTTATCACTTTTGTCTATTCATAATTATTTGATTAATTTTCATACTTCATTCAAATTCCAATTACAATGTATATAACAGTATATACATACATGGAATATTGCAAATCATTTACCATAAAATTTATATAATCACAGAATTAAGAATTCAATTTCATAAAAAGTGTGATAATAATCTAAAAGTGGGATTAACATTTTTCAAGAATCTTTTGAATATTACTCATAAAATTTTATATTATGCAATAATTCCCAACTATGTATTCGAAATTGCATTAAATTACGATTACTAAAATTTTAAATTAATAAGTTATAAAATACCATGGTTATTTTGTAATTCATGCACAAATAAAATACGTACATACTACACTTTTAAATAATAATTATATTTTTATTGAAAAAAAAAGCAAAAAAATAAAGGAATATTATTTAAAATTTATGAAGAAACGAAAATGAAAATAAATAAATAAAAAATACCTCTAAGCATATTGGCTGTATTCAAAGTACATTTTATATACTAATTTTTTCATAAATTATTAAAAAATTCTCATATTATAGCAATAATGTGCTAGAAATTGAATTTTAACTATTATATAAACTAACTTTCTGTAAATAAATTAATGAAAATTTTTAATAACTCCCTACGTCTCTCTATTTTCAATAACTCTCTTTTTCTCCGGAAAATCATGTATAAATATGTAGAAACGTCCAGTAAGTTATTCCGTAAAAAAAAAAAAGAGATTAAAATCGAATGAATTTGAAGATCTGCCCTGCGGATCAATTTGATTTTGAGTTCTCCCAAAAATATAACATAAAAATTTTGATTTATTTAATTCTCTCATTTTAAAATCACCGTTTCCCCTCTTGTGGTTACATTTTTTGAGTATAAGTACTTTTACTTTATAATAATTTTAAATTGAATATTATTTGCTCTTGCACATCATTGTTATATATGTAATTTTGTAAATGATTTAATTTTTAAACTATTCAAAGGAAAGATTGTGCTTCTCAATATTCGAATGAATTCTCTTTAATTGAGTTAACAGTACAATGCAAGTATATTACCATAATGTTGGTGAATTCTCTTTAACATATAGTTAACAAAGCGACGGCGAATATTGAAAATATATAATAATCCTTGGTTTCGAAATTCGGAATTGGAATAAATTACAATTCATAAACCGGGTTCTTCTTGGAATATTACAGAATTTTAACATTACGAAGTATTTTAAAATAAAATTCGAATATATTCAAAAAAAAATTTTTAATTTGAATTTTAGGCAATTTAAGTGTAATTTACCGTAATTTACTTGAATATTATAATTTTTTATCTAATATTAAAAATCATTTTTTTCTTCGAAAAAAAAAATTATTTTCAATAAAATATTTTTTTACAATGATCAGCGAGAATTTTTTTTTTGCTAGTATTTTGAATTTCGAGTTACTCATAGTTAATTAAATCGTAAGGGGGGGTAACAACTCCTTTACCAACAAACAACAATAAACATATAACCAGGGCTCTTATACAAAAAAATTAAATAAGAAAAAAATCAACAATTTCAAATTTTCTAGCAAATATTTGCAAATATTCTTAAATGCGACACATAAAGAATATTATGAATAAATTTTAATGCAAAGGGGGGAATAGAAAGCATTTTATATTATTAGAGAAATATATATGTATAAGATGGAAAGAGACAGTAATATGAACATATTAATATGAATGAGAAAAAAGATGACTGTTATGAAGATAATCATTTAAGAAAAATGCATAAAACATTTTATTTAAGAGAAGTTGAAAAAAGAGAGAGAAAAAAAAGCAACATTAAAAACTTCCCAAGAAGATTGGATTGGAATTGCATTTTTTTTTTTTTGAGAATGCCTAAAATTGTGTTGAAATTCTCAGCCGTTATTTCATAAAGTGTTTTATATGTATGCAAGTCAGTATATTTGTGAATATTTTTGTACCCGTAACTACTCGTAAATAACTGGCTAGTGAATATTTATAAATTAACATTTTTTTTTTTTTTATAATGATTGTTATCGCATGAGAGTTTTGAAATAACAAAAATGAAAAAAAACGTAAAATTAAATTTTTTTTCCCCTGCTTATATTGTGAATTTTCAAGTTATTTTTTATATATGATTTTGAAATTGAAAGTTTTAACAAGTCATTTATGTCACGCTATATTATTGTAGATTCCAATTAAAGTTGTTTTATTTGCACAAATATACAAACTCTTAATATACGATAATCAAAGTTGGATATACCTTGCTATACATGCACAACTATATACGAGTATTTTACATATGGGCTTTTACATATAATAGTTTTGTTAAAGATTGCATTGAATAGGCTTTTGAACCGGGATCTCAAAAAAAAATTATGTCTGATATCATGCTAACAATTATACATACTTAGTAAATTAAATTTAGAAATATTTTATGAATAATTACTATCAAAATGAAATCAAAATTAAATAGAAAAAAAAATTATGTGAAAAATATTATAAAATAATTTTTAATAGTAATTTTTAAGTAGTCATTCTCTGATTCTGAAATATTTATTAGTTCCTATGTCGGTTTTCTAAACAATTTTCTCACATTTAATATTTTTTCAACTTTAAATTAGTTGAAATTAATTAATTTTTATATATAGATTAAAAAAAGTAAATAAAAAGGGTCTTCCTTTAAGAGTGTATAACACTTTAAATTTATATAACATTCCAAGCATATAAAAATTTCCGATTACATTATTTATTGAGGATGAGATCTTGAAAATTCTTAATATTAGATTAAAATTTAAATTGAAAAGAGCATAGTTTTCCTTCTTGTATAACAGTTTTCGAAATAAATGGATATATTTGTCTTGCATAACAGTTATAAATGGTATTCACGTTCCACTTACAAACCATTCTTTAACTCATTTTCAAACTAATCTCAATTAACTAAATACTTATAATTTTGAAAATAGTTCAGAGAGTCAAAAATTAAAACACGCAATAGACTCGAGAACAGCAAGTTGCAAATGAAAGTTGGATTGAAAGTCTTACAAAGTGAAATAATATTTATAATAATGTAAATTAATCACAAACAATATAAGCTCAATTACTTCATTCCAGAGGTCCAAATCACATTAAGGAGACTCCGAATATTAGTACATTCGATTTTTAGGCCTACCATTGTGTTTTTTGTTTAAAATTTTAAAAATTTTTTGATTTATCAATTTTTAAGCCTATATAAATCTTAAATTAATTTCCACTTAGTTTCTGTTTTTTTACATTTTTGAAGGTAAAACATTTTTTACACTATTATAAAAAAATATTTTTTTTTTGTTTTCATTTTTCTTATACATATACAACCAGTCAAAGTAACTTGCGCAGGTCAAAACGGCATACAACAGAAGACCATACAAACAACAGTAATTATTATAAGAATAAAAAAGTAATAAATGAGCAATAAACACAGAGAGAAAAGAAACAGAAAAAATTTTGTAAAAAAAAAAAATTTTACACTTGTAAATTTAAAAATAATCTGACGTAAATAATGTATGTATGTAAGTATATGCATATATATATATATATACAAATGAATAAAAAAACAGTTAATTTTTGATAAAATATTAAAAAAAAACAAAAAAAAAAATAGCAGTTAATTATCCTTACCGCGATTTGTTAATTCATTGCCAACATTTTTATTATTTTCATCTTGACCTCCAACTGGTGTACCAGGTGTACTATCAGAATTATTTTTTTCCCACGAATCCATATCATTATTATTATTATTGCTGTTATTATTATTAACATTATTATTATTGTTATTATTATTATTTGTTATTGTTAATGGATCTTTATGATATGAATTATGACGATTTCTACCATTAACAACATTATTAATTGCATTTGTTGTTGCTGTTGTTGTTGTTTGACCACCAGGAAATGTTGCATTACGTTTGTGACGTCCTTTTGATTTTGGAAATGCAGCCAATATATTTAACCACCATTTTGATTCTTCTGGGCATGTACCTTTAACAAATGTTACACGATCTGGTGCTGTTATTGCAACAGAATTATTATGACCGGTAACATCTTCAGCTGTTGATACTTCAAGTACACGTGTCATATCGATACTAGCTTGTGGCACTGTTTCAGGCTACAAAAAAAAAATTAAATTAAATTAATAAAATTTATAATAAAAAAAAAATTTTACATTATTTTGTGATGTAGTAGAAAATATTACTAAAACTATTTAAATTTTTTCAGTGTAAAATCTGCACACTAAAAGAAAATTTACTGTCATTTTATATTTTTTGTTCAATCAATGTTGTTTCTCGGCAATGTTAAATTTGGAATGTCTAGTTTTCAAGAACTATCAATTTTTCGAATATGTAGAATATTATTTGATTGCCCTTTTAAGATATTATGCAATTTTAAAGATATTATGAAATTAACACTGAAAAAATAATTAATTTAACTGAATTAAAAATTTTATTGCAATCTGCAAAGCTCAATATTCAGAAATTTCATTTCTAAACTATAAATTTTGTGTTTCATACAACCTAAATTTTGAATAATTTTTTTATTATTGCTTGTACAAATAAATATTTGCATTGAGTTGTTATTAAAATATGAAATGCTTTTATGGCTTTTATGTCGTCTTAAAAAAATTAAAAGTTGTTGCAATGCAATTTTCCATTAACAACAAAAAATTTGCACAAAACAACCTCATTATTTTGTGAAGTTACAACATTGCTGTTGTTTTTTTGATTTTACAATTGTACTCATAAATTAAAAAATTCGAATTATTATTAATGCTACCGTTCCAAATTCTTTGTCATAATTATAAGTTTTAAACAAGTTTTTTTTCTGTTTTCTTACAAAATTTCTGTTCATAAAAATTATTTTTTCATGTTTTGTTGGTTTGAACTTTTAATAATTGGTTAAAATTTTAAAATTTTAAAGGATTTTGATAAATTCATTCGCGATTATAAATATTATGTATGTAAGTACGTAATTTCGGTTTATAATAAGTTCCTTGAAAATTACTTCACCAATTACCTAAAAACTTACAAAAGCAATTTGAAGGTTTTTCGTTTTTTTTTCTCTTGTGTTTGTCTTTTGAAAACACCCAATAATTAAATTCCTTCCCAATGAATTTTCTTTTCAAGAAAATTATTATATAAAATAATAATGAAATAATTGTATAACAGTTTAATAAATAAAATACAGGAATAAGAAAAACAAAATTAAAGTGAATGTCCCTGAAATTTTTGTTTTTGTTTTTTTATTTTCTTAGCATAAAAATGCTTTAATTATGGAGCTTATGCGCGCGCATACTAAATTTTGGTTGGTGCATTTAATGACGAAGAATAAAGTTGAATTTAATGGAAGAGATTTGTAATTACATTGTTTTTAATAATGTAAACAACTCATAAAAAAATAATAATGTACTAGAGTTACATAGATAACAAATTTTGTGATTGTAAGCAAAACGCGACTAAGTCAAAATTTTTGTAATATTCAGTTTTGTTTGAAATTTGACTTCTTTATGGTATATGAACGAAATTATAAAATATGGGATCGGTAACCAAAAACGACTAAGTCAAATTTTATGATTTTTAGTTTTATTTGAAATTTGAATTCTTTACATTTTACTGTACAGCCTGTCAAAATTTCATTGATGTACTTCAAATAGTTTCGGAGTTACAAGAAAAACTACTACTTTTATTTAGTCTACAACTCTACATGTTTATTGGGATCTTGTACGAGTATAAGTATATATAACAAATTATTTTCAGTGTTTTAAAGATTTATCAGTAGAGTATAATTCACAATATTAAATTTGGACCGGTTTTAAAAGTACTTGATTTTATTAAAATCAAGTACATTCTAAATTTTAAATCAATTTTAAATTTCACGTTTACACAATGTACTATATTATAATTTATAACTCATATATGTATGTATAGGAATGTTATGTTACAGTCTTAAATCGTCCACCTCCCTTTGCTAAATCTCTCCTTTTCAAATACATTGCAACATTGTACACACAAATATGTATGTGGAATATTGGTGATTTAAGCCCCCAAACAACTTGTATGCATGTTAATTAAAAATATAAAAAATTACAAGAAAAAAATAAAAAATTAAAATATTATTTTAATTTGCTTAAGTAACCGTAAATCAAAAGAAATCTCGCCGATTACAAAAATTTCGTAATTTATCACTCATTCTCCAAATATGTAAGTACAATGTACCTGTATGCATATGCGTATACAAATAAATATATATGCATCTCTATCTCACATGATAAATTTAAATTTACAATAATGCCATATATAAGGTATACAGTAATTATTATGAAGCCAGTTATTCTTGAAATTAATGTCCAAATTTATGATAAAATCTTTAAATTTAATTGATTTTCGAAAAAAACAGCAAGAAAAATTTAAAAGAAAACTAAAAACGAGTACTTAAATGATATCTTAACTATACTGCTTGTAAAATGTTTTCTGCAAAAAGGGATCAAGGAAATATCTTAAGGGCTTTTATCTTTCAAAAATAACACAAAAGAAATAAAAATAAATGTTATCATACTTGACACTTTATCAAAAATATTGCAATTTTATGTGATTTTTTTTTAAGATTTTTTTTAAAACTTGATTATTTTCATAAATTATAAAATATTTCGCGTAAAACAGGTACACAAAATAATAATTTGTATAATATTCATGTATAATTTTATACTTATATACAGTTACAATAAAAATTTTGTATAATATACGCACATGTGAATTTGTTCATCACATAGTTCACATACAATATGAGATAAGCAACAAAAATTCAATTTTACTAGGACAGTGTTCTGAAATTTCAGAACAAAATGTAGATTTCAGAAGTCTAATTACTGTAGAAGATAGTAATATCAACTGTTATACTAAAAAATGGCAACATTTTATTGTTATTCTGAATTTCATTCTCATATACTTTTGAGACTTTACTAGACAAATGATTTCTCTCTTATGAAAACAATATTTCCACATTTTAATAAATGTAGTTCTAACTTAGTACTACATTATAATGAATCATTTTCAAACTGTCAAAAAAGTGTGTTTCTGAAAATGTAGTACGACTTGTGGCGTTACGCTATTGTAAAAAAATAATGGCAGCACAATCTCAAATCCAATATAAAATATTAAGTAAAGAAAACAAAGTACTGCCACTTTAGGAATATTTTTCGAATTACTGCCGCCTCACATAATCTTAATGTAGTTTTGAATTTTAACAAAAAATATTTTTTTTTTAATTTTCAAAAACACCATCTGCTTATAAAAGCATGAAATTAAAAACTCGAAAGTGACTCATTTGTTTCTCCAATTAAAATTTTTATTTATTTTACGTCAACATGCAAAAATAATATTTAAATTTTTCTACTTTCTTATTTAAGTAAATTTTACAAGCAGAGATTTTTTCTAAATACCAAAACAAATAATTTTAATTTATTATTGTAAAAAAAAAAAAAAAAACTAAAAAAAAATTATTGTCAGAAGTGGGATTCGAACCCACGCCCTCATTAGAGGACCAGAACGCTCAGTTTAACCTTACTTATAAAGGTAAGAGTATTTATCTCTTGAGTCTGGCGCCTTAGACCGCTCGGCCATCCTGACATATGAAACAAATCATTCTCAAAATTTATTACAAAAATTAAGTATTTATTCATTCAAGCAAATTTAAGTAGACAACTCTGAAAAAAGCTTTTTTTTTATTTTAATTTTTTTTTTTGTTTACTTAAGTAAAATAAATATTTGTGTTTAAAAATAGAATAAATATTAAATTCTAAAAATGCTTAAATAACAACCTTGAGTATATACACTTTAATTATGTATATTTTCTATATAGACTCTTGTGTATGAGCAGATATAAAAAAAAATATGTTTCTGTAAATAATACTATCGCGTTTTCATCTATAAAAAGGAAAGCTTTCATATATTTTTTTTTGTCAGAAATAACAAAAGAAACGCTTCTCTGTAATCACAAAATTATTAAATTTAATCTTTATTATGTACTTGAATAAATTTTATTAAAATATTATCATAAAATTTAAGTGTAATTCATAATAAAATGGCAACACTTAAGATAAAAGATTTTATTTTAATAAATTAAAAATGTGTACAGTTTGTTTTTAATGTATTTAACTCGTATAAATATTTTACACTCATCTCATCCAAAGAAGAACTCAAATAAAAATTCTCAGAGTATATGAAATTGGAGAGTTACTCAAAATTGAGACAAAATTTACAAACATAGTGCCAATACAGGAGTGATTTTAGTACAAATGTCTCTTCTATTTAAGTAATCAATATACTGGTAGTGCAAAGTTGCGGCTCAATAAGCCGAAAAAAAATTTCGTGAGCCAAATTTCAAAAAAATGAGTAAAATCTAGAATAAAAGGGCGAAATTGAAGCGTTAAATTGCTCCGTAAATATAAGCTTTATATTTAAAAATTATTTTTAAAATTATTTTAAAAATAATTTTAATAGGAATGAAACACGAAATAAATAAGCAATAGAGTCGAATTTAGAAGTTGTAAAAATGACTTAGTTTAGCCCAATCGGTGAAATTGGGAAAGCAGCTGAAAAGTTTCAACTTTTATAAAAAACTTTTCACTCAATTAGTTCGTTTCCTTTTTAATGAAAGTTACAAAATTTGTAAGTGAGGGCTTTCTAAATTCTAGTAATTGATGGCTTTCCCTCCGCCCGATTTTAAGAAAAATGATCTAACGTGAGGGTTGTACTCGTATATATAACACTTTTATTTGTATATTCGTATTTGGCAAATAAATATTTTTATCTAATTGCACCCCTTTAATTAGGAAGACTACAGAAAAAAAGGAATACTTTTGTTTGGAAATGTGCTGTTTTATAAGCCAATTTATTATTGAATTATAAATTTAATTTTTATTAAATTAATTTGAATAAATAAAATTTGACATATTCACACAGTCATACATTTACATATTATGCTAAATAAATATAAGTATATATATAAGGAAATTATTTAATTTTCAATAAAAATGTTGAAAATGAAATAAAATTTCAATTAATAAAAATGGAACACGTGAATAAAATTCACGTGACTAGATTTTAATACAAGTGATAAGTTTTATTTTACTTGTGAGGTACATAACATACAAGAGGATGAAATGAGAGATAAATAAACCGAAAAAATAATAAAAATAAAAAACAAAACAACTTAGGATTTGACATAGTGTGTAGACGGCATAAACTTTTAAAAAATTACCATAACACAAAGTTGTTCAGTTTTTTTTTTTTTCTGAAATGAAATGATTCAATTTTATTTTGTTAATTAAAATTCAGAAGCTTGTTATTATGTCTTAAAATTGTATAATTTAAAATTGATCAATTTAATTAATATGCAAAATAAGAAAAATTGTATTTTAATTTAGATTTTTATAAAAAATAGACCGGCTGAATCATAGTATACAATATAATTAAAAAGTATAATAATTTTAAGTTTTTGGAATTAAAATAGTCATGACGACATTTGGAAAGGGAGTAGTAGAATTGATGGAAAATGTGTTTGGTTTAATTGATATCCCCTAGTTTTATTAACATTTTTGAGTACACACAAGTAACTAAAAATAGCATTTTACACCCAATTTGATTTCAGAGCTGCTGACTATGAAATCTGGATCAGTTTCATAATAGAACTAAAATTCAAAACTATTACTAGAGAAACGAACTAAGATTAAAATCAATTTAAAAAAATAATTTAAAAAATCAATCAACTTACGTGTTCATCAACAGAATACGTCAATTCACCATCATCATATAAAACGAACCATCTTCTTTGCCATCTCTGCAAATTACAAAAGAAAAAAAAAATATTCATAAATAAATTAAAGAAATTCTATTTAAAATTCAAAATTTAAATTACAAAACTCAATATAAAAAAAAATATATATATTTATAATTTAAAAGAAAAATTTGAATTTAAATTCTTTGTTAATTTGACCTAAAAAAATCATCACCAACTAACTTCATTATCATCTTCATTTCAATTAAACACATTTATTATACTCATATATGCAAAAATCCAATTTATTATATTTAGATTCTCTATAATATAACGTTATACAATTAGAATAGAATATAAAATTAGAAAATCTCAATAAAATCAACAAAAAGCAAAATACTGTTATATAAAAATCAATTTACAGTTCAATCACATTAAAATTCAAACGTAATCTTATACATATACACAAAACACAGCACAAAAACATAACAATAACAAAAATAATAATTATTATTGAATAATAAATGATTCTTTGTATCATAGAGTTGCCAACTAACATATGTATAACACATTATTATATTTATGTATAACAAATTATATGTGTACATGAAATAAATATAACTTTCAACTATTATCGATTCTTATCTAAATTTACAATTTATTGATCATAGTAATAATCATCATTAAAGTCAATAATATCAATATCGATTATATATATTATTCGATTTTATTGTACATATAAAATTTTGTTCTTGTTTTTGTTTTCTTGTACTATATTAAATTGACATGTAATACAGAGTGGAAATAATTTTAAGTTGTAAAATTCATTTTATTAATAAAAATTTATTATAAGGCACAAATAGAAAAAAAATTTTACAGTATCCAATTGTAATGCTTCTGCAATTAATGTAATACGGGTTAATAGAGAAGGGAGGATGACAACGGAATATATTATAAAAAGCGATTACTGTTTAAAAGCTCTTAATTTAAGTAATTAAATTTGACCAAAATTTGATCTCAATTCAATTTTTCGTTTTATATTCTTTGCGCACTATTGTAACATACTTTACCCAGAAAAGTAATCTAAAATAATTGAGAGAATTTTAGGAATTAAAAAAATTTTTTGTAAGAGAAATCTGTTATACACAATTAAACACACTATAACTTATAAAATTTCAACTAAATGTTTGACACTCATGTTTGACACTCATGTTTGACACTCATGTTTGACACATTCCTAACTCATCTCAAATAGTCTTTTATACTGGATTGATACAAATATAGAAGTATTATACAAGTAATTTATAAGTTATAATTAATATAAATTAAGTTTAACATATATTTTGCTTAACATAATTTTATCGTCTTTAGTAGTTTACTTTCCCATCTCTCCTATAACGGTTTTCGGCAAAAATCATACTAAGAGTTTAGCTTTCTCATAAGCATATTCTTCTTGCAATCAATTTTGGCAAAATAAAATTCTTTCATTGTTGAGTGATACATAATATTTCATTTTATATGACCCCTAATGAATGATCCCCTTTTTCGGAACACTACAATTATCCGACACTGTATAACAGTTAAATATTGTAATACTATTAATAAATTGTTCTATTTTAAACAATTGAAAGCGGTACTTCCTTATTGCTTGCGTAATATTTTTGCGAAAAAAAAAAACAAAAAGAAAAAAAGCAGGAATACATGCTAGTTCAGATCATCATACATACAAACACATGTATATACATACATATGTTATAAATTTTTCAATAACATAACAGTAATACCGCAAAAATTTGTAACTATAACAAGAAACAAAAAAAACTCTAAGACAAGATAATTTTAGATTGATTTTCAAAATAATGTTTATGGATGCATAAGATTTCTGTATATATACCTAAAGTTTGAATGTGTATAAAGTTATACTTGTTATATAAGCAAATATTGCTATTGTTATTTTTTGTAATGTGATTTGTTGTTACTTATTACCCAGTTCTGGTTTATTTTTCTTATTATTTTGTTTTTTTTTGTGGTATAAAGCTATAAGGAAGATGTGTATTGCTTCAATTGAAAATTATTATACGTGGTTTCCAAAGGGAATACCATAATATACATATATATAATGGTACATAATGGTAAATAAGTGATGAACAGAAAAAGAAAAATAATTCACAAATTCACAATATATAGGCTATGGTATAGAGCCTAAAAATATTTTGTTTTTACATATCTGTAACTATAAATTTCAAAGAAAACATCTTGTTATTTTGTATAACTTAGATTTTTTATAACAGTAACTGAGTTTGCTCTCACTCTCTCCATTTCCCCTCCTTGCTTACGCAGTAAATTATTACGGTATACAGTATGTTTGTGTACTACATAAGTATAAAACGCAACACAATGAATGTAATTTAATAGAAATACACGCGGTTTTTAAAAAGCAATTCATATTATTTTACATATACATGTAAAAATATTTTCAATACGTATAATTATTAACTATAGAGTATAAAATACCGTTCGGTAGAAAGTATACAATATATTAAGTAGATTGATTGATTGAATGCATATTAATAATTTAAAAAGTAAGATATGTCAAAACAATATGTCAGTTAAATTTTATTAATGTTGGTTTATATTTAAAAAATATATTTGTACATATACATGTGTATAACAGTTATACAATATTTTATATAATCTTATATTTAGTAAAAAAAAAATGTATGTAGGTATAAAGTTAAATTTGCAATATAAAAAAAATTGAATGAAGTTAACTGTAAAAATAATTTCAAGATCATGCAGAATATTGATAACCAAAAATTATAACAATATTTTTTATTCAATATAGAAGAGAATAAATACGAAATAGCATGAGTACCTATATGAGCACGTATAGGTATATAATAATTATTATACGGCTATATATACATAATTTGGTTTAATCATGAAGATAATATGCATGGCACAATAAATATTGGTATAGAAGTGTGTTGTAAAACTTTTACTGAAATGTTTTCGAAGTATTAAGCAACATAAAAAAAACATTAATTCTCTTTTAGACTTTGTGTACATCTGTTTTTCTTCTTGCAAATATTCTGCATTATTTTGATTGATTAAGTATCTTTTTTAATGCATATAACATTATGTATTACAATATATATATGTCTACATATTATTTATTACGTATACATATTTCTAATTTAGTTATTTTACTTATAAATTTTTAACCGGAAATTATTTACCGTAATTTGATTTATTATATTATTGGTAAAATATCAAATTAATATTATAGAAAATCTGTGGTAATTTTAAGAAGCATACGTATATGAGAATTATTTTCTATATTATATACACATATGTATGTACAACTATATACATATATACGTACATATAAATTGCAATATTCTAGACAAAGTTATATCACATATCTTTAATATAGCATTGAAGTAATTCAACGGTGCATAATATTATAAGAGTATAACACTTTCTAAAAGTATAACAGTTTTAATAACAGAATCTTACACAATAATCATAATAGAAATGAGTAATTTCGCATAATTATTCCGATCGAATATTTTATATTAATAGGCTTCAGTTTTTTTCTACAATTATAACAAAATTTTCATACTTTCCACTACTTTGTAGTTATTGAGGGTAAACATAAATATTTTAAAATTATTTAAAATGAACGCACTATAATATGTTATGAGCTTATAAGAGTTAAATAAATAAAGATATAGCTATAAGGATTATAATACTTAATCGAATACAAACACTTAAAGATTTTTAACGAAATTCTGTTATACAGGAGTATAAAAAATTCAAATTTAAATTTGAGCTTGTCTTTTATATAATATTTCACATAAAAATATAAAATCATCTACCGGAATAATAATATTGTGCTAACTACATTTAAAAGTGTTATACATTTGAAATGTTATATATTTAATGTATTATACATCCTTAGGCATATATTGTAATTTCCTGAGCGCATTGTCCTTTACGTTATCATTTTTAATTGCATTAATTTCAATATTTCAATAAATTTAAATTACACTAAAATTCTATTCCTAAAAATAACAAAAACTGTTATAATTATTTCAATAAATTAAAGAATAGAATTTGTGCTCAACGATATTTGAATAAATAATTCAAATCTAATTTTCTGTTCTATTTCAATAAATTCTAATTTATTTTTAATATTCATTTAGAAAACCATCATTATTTGCCTTTCCTTAGAATTCTAATCATCGTAACAAATTCGCAATATGTAGAACAAAAATCTTCTGTGCAATACCACAGGCTATAGATATCATAAATTATTGAAAATCAAATCTAAAAAACTTCCTTCTGGCTAAGAGCAAAATATTAATTTTTTAAAGTTACTTTTCTATTTTAAAATAAATATTTATTCAAAAATATGAAAAGTTGACATAAAATCCATAGCCAAACGACAATGATATATTATGCAACATTACAAAAAAATGTCATCAAAAACAAAAAAAAAAAAAGAAATGGTGCTTTTTCCAGTTTTCAATAAAATACACAATTTAAATTACATTTTATAATAATAAAATTTTATATTTTATTATACATTCTAATGAATTCCCTATTAAAATTTGGCCTATTTCTTAGCCCACATTTAAAATTCTCTATTAAAATATTTTTCTTTTATATAAATTTTATTTACAGTAATTTATACAGGGTGATTCTGTAAAGAGTATGTAAGAGTTTAATCTTAATGGAAATTTCTTCATGCAACTGCAGAACAGATGGATGACGTAATCAAAGGAACGTGTTAAAGGCAGGAAAATTCATTAAAAAAATTTTTCTCCTCGAACTGGACTCGAACCAGTGACCTACCGCTTTCTAAGCGGACGCTCTACCAACTGAGCTACAGAGGCATGAAGTATGTAAGAGATAATCAAAAAGAAGTTAAATTTTTTTTTGGAATTTGCAGCCAGAACTGAATAATTTTCGAGAAACAGTAATTCTTAAAAAAAAATTCCCGATATTTCAACTTATTCACAATCATCTAGTAAAAAGAACGACTCCAGTAAAGGTTG